TCAAAAAACACCAAGATATCTCGAAATGTATTCCGCTGGGAGTTGAGATCTCTCTTAGCAGAACCCTTACCACCGGCTTCCATCAAGAGGCCTTTCACTTGATTCAAAATTTTTCCCTTCAGTCCCTGTATATGTATAAACCAGTCCCGCTGTTTACTTCCCTCCAGGGCGGAGCCATCAGTTGATCCTCTAGCTTCAGCAGAAAACTTCTCCAATCTGCCTATCTCAAAAAGCAACGCCAGAGCTTCACCAGCAGCAATGCGTACAGAACGGTCATCCTTGTCCAGAAGACTTGATAAATATGATATTGATCTGAATGTTTGCAGTATTAGAATTTGTTAATCGTCACATATGGTGCCAAAACTTTAAATTCTTCTTTGCAGAGGGAGAATTCAAAACTACAAGCATAGTAGGGTTCTCCACACATTTTGACTTGGTTTTTTACTTTAGTGCCTTTGTGGAAAGAAACTGTATTGCCCCATCAAAGGGGCAAAATCACATCATAATTCAGATAACATAAAACGTAGTACATTTTCATACAAGGCAAAAATTTATTTATATATTAATTTACCAAATTTTCATGAACTGCGAACATTTATTTGCATATTTATTTATCATTTTAACACAACCAACCCCAATGATGCTGTTTCATACCTAGACATGCAAATTATGATATCAACCCATTAACAATCACACTCAAACCAATATCAAAAGATTTAGGTTTCTTGCAAAAATAATAATAATAAATCAATCAATAGCAAAAGAGGAAGCTGCATAACAAAAGTTTACTAACTCTTGCCAATCTTTGGAATTAAGTTTCAACCCGTCCATAGTTGTAAGGACAAAGGACCATGCAGACACCATAGCTGTTATGATAGCTACCGATTGCCTGGCTGCAACTACCTGTGAAATTTGAAGAGCAGGCAACAAATGAACAATAAACATAAATTTGATAAAATTTCTCGTCCTAAACCCTAAACAAACAACAATAATAAAGGAAGAGACATTAGGGATTACATTTTGTCCTAGTTTGGGAATGACAACTTGCCACATGAGCTGCAACAACGGTTCGATTTCCTCCATGTCATTTCCTCCAACAAAAGTGATAACCGCCAAGCATTCGAGCAGCTGAAGAAAATTAATCATCCCAAATCAGTCGAATGAAAATCATCTAGTTATTTTATAATTAAATTAAATTTCAGATTAAATATATTATATCAAATACCGATATCTTTGAGGACTCCGATCCAGATCTAAGAGCATGAGAAATTGAAGGAATTGATTCTGACAATATTTCCCGAGCATTGTCACCCTCACCCACTGTTAAAGCTAATAATCCTACAGATTATATATGATCATAAAATTAATTGGCATTTGGATACACAGTAATTGAGAAGGCTAATGTTATCAAACGCCTACCAATTGCACGAGAAGCCAAGGATATTTCCTTGCTGGAACCCTTTTTGATAGAATTCAGACATTGATGAAGCAGAGTAGCAAATCTGGTCAAAGGAAGAAAAGTGCAATCAATCAACATGCATTTGCTTTTTCCTTTTACATTTTTTCCCCAATAGGACCTTAACAGAAATATAGGATGATTGCATCAAAGTTGCATCATATAAAAAGGGGGGAATTGAGACTCTTACATTATGCCCGGCTAAAAATTTAATTTGATAAAACTAAAACGAAATGAAGAAATGGTAAAATTATAACTTAATGGCTAAACTATGGGTACTGAATTGCCATTATCACCATGTTGTCATGTTTATGACAACAAAATAAGTAGGCTCAAAGTAATATTTGTGGTAGCCACTCACATTGGCTGAGATTGAGAATTCTTACATCTAAGTTTGGGGATTTGTAAGAAATAATTTTTTATGTATTTTGTTAGTTGGATTTTGAGATCCATCTGTTAGTTGGTTTCTCTGAAAAATATTCCAACACGAGTACAAAAGAGGAATACGATTTCTTCCCCAGACAAAATCTCTCAGATGAATGAAATATCTCTTTTCTTTACCCCCACTTTGGGCAGTTCTTTACGATTGCAACAGACTACATTCTGCAAAACTAACTACATTTAATCAAGAAAGTGAATGAAAGCAACCCTGCCATTTTTCACTCTTAGAAACAGTACCCGAGAAAAATCAAAGGAGAACGTGCCAAGCTATAAACAAAACAATGGAAGAATTGAAGCCCGCGCTTGAAATTAGAAACATTTGCACGGAGAGAGTGCGTGAAGGAGTGCTTACTTTTTTTCCACAAATTGATGTTGCAAATTGTTGTTGAGATTTTCTATGATTGATGCCAGCGCTTTCTCTCTTGTGGAACCCCTACATTGCAGAAGTCAAACATAATTTACTCCAAGTTTCAGAACTATGTAAGATTTTTTTTATATAAAAAAAAAAAATAATACCAACAAGCTATAAACTACAATGGGGCAACGGCTGCTGCTACTAGTGACAAGACCAAATTGCATTAATTTTATTCTAGGAGTAAAAACATTTAGCACGAAGAATCGTTCAAGCACTAGAAGAATACCTCTTCTCATATAAAGCATCAAGAGCTTGATCAAGTATAGTATCTTGGTCAAATTGAAAATCCTCAATCCCTACAACAGACATACGATCAGACCGCGTAGTCGATGAAGAACTCACACTAATATCATCATCACTATCCACCGCTGGAGAATTTTTTCGCTGAGTTTTACCTGTCAAGAAGAGACAACATCAATACCAAACCCTTGTAATTATCAATCTGCAGAGTGAAACACGAAATCCAGACAATTTCAGAATTACAATCCAGAGAGAAAAACAGGAACACTCCAGGAGGAAAAGTCAAACAATCTATAGATGAAAAAGGAACAAGAAAGTAAACAAAAGGCCAGAGAAATTTCGTTCATAAATAAAACAGCAAATAGGCAGCCTCGATTATCGATAAAAACTACCAAAGAGAACGAAAAGAAAACTCACGTCTTCCCATTTGTACAGACCACGGTGGCTCCTCCCTTCAATAGACGTCAATTAGAACTAGAAGGCTGCTTAAAAATCTGAGAACGAAAAAGTTTCGGAGAAAAAAGATGAACAGAATCTATTGGAACTGAAACGAGAATGGAGCAACACTTGGATGAATGGAAGAAAAAACTCGCCATCAAATTTGTCGAATGCAGGGAAAATGAAAAAAAGGGAAAAAATCGGAGAAAAACAAATTAGGGCTTTTATAGGGAACAAAAGAAAACAACCTATGAGATGCAGGACCTTCAAAACTCTCAACGGTGCCAAAGGGGATCGTTCGCGCGGTGGTAAAAAACGTAAACGAATATTCGGTGAACCTGTGGTTGCCTGGAGATGATGACGTGGATAGAATAATCACCGTCCGATGCAGGGAGCTGTTGGATACGGGACCCACGAAGGAAAGAAGTCGGCGCCGCTGGGAAATTGACACGTGGCAAATGGTTTGGAGCCATTTGAGAGGTAAGAAGAACACGTGCGTTTGGATATTGGATCGCGTGAGGGATACGCCGGCTTGCATCTCTCCCCCATATGAACTTTGGGCCTCGGTCCTCTCATCGCAGGCCCAAATGTATTAATCGGGCCTATTGCTGACTGTTCGTTTCAGAATTGGGCCCAGAAGAGTTTGCCTCAGATATTTGGTTGCGGCAATCTGCAGCGTTTCAGAATTACCCGGCTATCGGCGGGTGAGTGCTGCAGCGACCCGCGCTCGCACGATTCCCCTGTTCCGACAGCGACAATAGCTTAAAACGAACCTCGAATCGCTTCGAGTTCTTGTCCCATGCTCCGATTGATCTCGGATCTGAAAAACCGCGATTCGACGGCTTCAGTTCGTGCCCCACTCGCCTCTTCGTTTCAACTTCTTCGCTCTCCAAGAGATTCTCTATATGCCATTGCACTTCGGGTATCTAAACCTATTGGCCATTGATTGACGGTATATAATTTCAGTTAAGCTATGCTTAGAACTATACGTTTTTACTTCATGTCATATTCATTCATGGATCTATATGTTCATACATTATAATTATAACAGTTTACTGATTAAGTTAGATTAGATAATGATACATTACTCTCTGACTGCTAACATATGCCCTACCATTTGATTCATTCGCTATCGTCTTCTGGCTTTCATATTTTGTGATATTTCATATTAATCAGTCAGATTGGAAGCCACCCATGTCATTAATCATTGTGGCTAGCAAATATAGAACTTTAGTTTTCAAAAGATGGCTAAATATAGGATGCGTGGTTGATGAAAAGCACAGATTCGTTAAAAGTAGAGAATAAAAGAGATAACCTGCAACAAAATTCCCAATAGAGGTTTTCATTTTCCATTTCCCCCGAACTCATGTCATTTTCAAATCAAAATCCAAACTGGCCCCTGAAATATTGACAAAAGCAATCCAAAATTGGTTCGAAACTGACATCCAAGAGGAAGCCAAGAGAAAAAGAAAGGGTTATGTGTGTTATGAATCCATGATTGATCATTAAAGCATGGAGAGGAATGGGCAAGGTATGTTTGAATACACACATCCTCTTTATCCTCCTGCCCCTTGTGGTTGCTTATATTCTGCCATCTGCTTGTCATAGACCACTTGTTTTTATCAAAAATACCCAATTGATGCCAATTCACTGCCTCCCATGTGCTGCACACTTCCCGCTTGGATCGGCAAGAAATAAGAGACCGACCGATCTGCAGGGTGCAGGGTGCAGGCGCAGGCCAGTCAAACCCTCGGAATTTGACTACTGCGAGTTCAGGTGGGGGCAGAACCATAACCATAGCCATAACCGGAACCAGAACTACAGAACCGTTTTCTATTAATGTGCGTGATAAGTAAAACTTACTTTTACTGACAAACCCACTTGGTATTTTCAATCTTCCTCCTCACCGACATCCACCTAACTCCCACCACTATTCCATTGGTTTTGTTTCCACTTAATTTCCTTATTTATGTTGTTTTTGTTTTCGCACATGGGAGTTGCACAGAAATGGAGGCCGGAAGTGATTGATTGTGAAAGATTGAAGATTTCCTTGCAATACCAACGGGGCGTTAAAGGGCGCAAAGGTACAGCCATGGGCTTCCCGTTGGTTTTTGCAAATGCCTTTTGATTATCATCATCCTCAAGGCAAGAGCTTGGGTATTGCTTTAAAGGCATACCCAAGTTCTGTCACCTCTAAATATTGCTGCTGCCTTTTGATTATATATCAATTTTCTAATTAGATTTTTTAATAGGAAAAAAAGAAATCTGGTTGAGTACATTTGAATGGTATAAGGGGTGGATAGTGAGATCTCAAATTGGTCCCTAGCATAACGTAGACAATATTTGATAGCTATGGAATTAAACTGTTACATTTTCCATCTTGTATCTAAAGCACTTATTCAATATTTTTAAAAATTAATAAATATGTTAGACGTTAAATTTACTAATAAATTTTTGATAATGAGTCTAATAATTTTATGAATTAAAAACATTAAACAAGTCTATAACATATTAAGTTTTAAAATTGTTAAAAATTTAAATTTTAATGTTTAATTAAAAGACATTAAACATTTTTTAAAATTAAATAGAGTTGGAGAGACAATTCTATATTCAACTTGTATGTATAATTTGAAACATAGTTTAAAATATTTAAACTTATTATGTGGAAAAAGTTGATGAGGAAGGGACAAAAAGCTAGGGAAGAGATGGCAATTTTGAATTTGGGTGGGTAGCAAATGCCAAGTGGGTAGCATTCAGGCCCGTGGACCAACTTTTGGACACCACTATTTGGGATTCTCTTAATTTATTATCACTAATTAATTATTTAATAAATATTCTAATTATACATAATATTATTGTGATGTTTGTATTAATTGATTATTCTATTTTTATTCTAAAATTAGTATTAAGTATTATTCAGGGACATTCAATAAGGGAAAATTATTGCCAAAACATCACACCATTATTTCCTCTTTTTCATCTCAAATTACATCTCACTTGTAATTTTCTTTTCCAAATAGACCATTTAATATTGTCCAAAGAAAAAGGACCCATTGAAAGCATATGCACAAAACCGAGCAGAAATAGTAGTGACATAAAATGACTACTCTTGAGGCCTGAATTAGAAAGAACGAAGGGTAAAAATGTCTTTACACTTTTTAAATTCTGTAAAACCTAGATTTATAGTTAATGACTAAAAATTTTAGGTTCACGCATCAACTTTTTCACCTAAAAAAAATAAGTCTATCCATTTTTGGAATGAGAGAAATGCTAAGTGTAAGGAAAAAGGTAAAGTAATAAACTTAGTTCAAATTATTGAGATGAATTAATAAATTTAAAAAAGAATAATTGTAATTTTACGAAGGAAAAAATAAGGTATTGGGTGCGGTTACAGAATACAGAAAGTACTTGCTTCTAGTACGGTGCTGACCTATGGTATTAATATAAATGGCAGAGAGAGAAGTGTAGCGTGATTGGTGCGTGTATCTCACTTTCGTATATTCAAGCAGTCCCAGTTAAGTCCAATACAAGCCAGCGACCCCAGCCCTTGAGTCAAATTCTAGTCTCCTCTTCAAAACCCAACAGGCATTCTCTCTCTACTCTCTCTCTAAAGCCTCTTATAACCAAAGGGTGCTTTCTACAATTTCGCCACGTTCTGAGAATACCCAGATTGGTTTCTTAATAATCCCTCCCCCTTCTTCTGTAACTGCTGAAGAACAACTCTGCTTTTGGGGCCTTCAATTCTGCCCCTCATCTCCACTTTCCCTTGTCCTCGCTTCGTGGCTCTAGATTTGCGTTTCTTTCTTCTTTTTTCCTTTTTTTTTTTTTTTTTGCAGTTTCTTAGAAATCGTATCCCCTCTTGAATGTTATAGAGGAAAAGGGGTATTGATTGTTGTTGAAATGGATGATAATGGAGGCTGTTTGGACGAGGAGATTGTGGATGAAGGCACATTCGTTTACATTGGAAATCGAAGCCCAGCAGAGGATGATTATGTGGATACGTTACTTGCGAAGGAGACAAGTTTTGGGTTTGGGAAAGATAAATCTTTGGTGTTTGGGAACTGGGTCAAATGTGCCCGTTTGGAAGCAATTGCATGGATTTTCAAAGTCAGCGTTTTTTAGACCCTTCTTCGTTTTTGTGGATTTTTCTTGTGTTTGATTCCAATTCAATTCCATTGATTATTGTTCTGATTTCACAGACCAGAAATGTGTTTGGATTCAGTTACCAGACGGCTTATCTTTCGGTGATATACTTCGATCGGTACCTTTCGCGGAGGGCCATTACTGTAAGCTTCACTTTCTTCCCATTTCCTCTGGCAATGACTTGTTAGTTTGCTCTGTTAATCCAAAACTCCATGAGTGCAGAACGAGAAGGTGTGGGCGATTAGGCTATTGGCAGTGGCTTGTCTGTCGTTGGCGGCGAAAATGGAAGAATTGAAGGCTCCAGCGCTGTCACAATTTGCAGTGGATGATTTCATCTTTGAAAGTAAGGTAATCCAAAGAATGGAGCTTTTGGTGTTGAACACATTGGAATGGAAGATGGGTTCAACCACTCCTTTCTCCTTCATTCCTCATTTCATATCTAAATTAAGCATTGAATCCCCACCAAGCAGTAGGGTTTCTGAGATCCTCGAACTCATCTGGGTTATGATTAGAGGTAGCTTCAGTTTCACACAACCCATGTCCATCAATTTCTCAACACACTAAACTTCTTCCACCAAATTTTGATCATTACATACTTTCAAATCTTGAATCCAGAAAGAAGTACAGAGAACCATCGGCCTTCTGTAGTAGCAGCTGCCGCAGCCATTTTAGCTGCAATGGATGGCAGATTACTAACAAGGAAGGCCTTGGAGTTGAAGATGAAATCCATTTCGCAATGTAGATATCTTGAAGTAGTAAGTTTGATTAAAGAAACTGTGACCCTATTTATATTTATTCCATAATTCGAATAAGTCTAACCCTCCTTCGTTTGTTCACAGGAAGAGGTGGTTTTGTGTTACAATCTGATGCAAGAGCTCAGATTGGTAAAATGTAGAGAAGGAGCAGAGTGTTTGAAATCACCAACCCAAATGAAATCCATGGATTGTTCAGAGAATTCTTCAGTAACATCACCGATTGCCTTGAAAAGAAAACAGCTAAACTTCATAAACTTCGATGAAAAGTGTGGTGTGGCTGATGGAAAGCGGCCCCGGTAGAGGGGAAAAAGATGATAATTTGGGGTTATATGACACATTAATTGCTTGAATTGTTGGTTAACTAATGAAGCTTTCTCAGTAAACAACCAATGATGAAAGAACAGAGAAACTAAAAGGAAAATGGCAGATGTATTGGGGCTGCACCTGCACGTAAAAATAGCAGAAGTGAAAGGTGAAGAAGAAATAAGAGAAGGAGGACCAGGAAGGCATTAGGGGGAGGAGGACGGCTTCAAAGAAAGCTGCTGCTTATAGGGGACATCTATCCTCTTACTCACTTGATGTTCACTCTCTCTTTTGTTAATTGATTATTTGTTTTTGTATTGCTTTTAAAGATTATGGGGTTTTTTAGCTGTGTCTGGAAAGCCCTGGGGATGTTTTCTTGGGTTCTTTGAAAAGGGTGTAAGAAAGTTAAGAAGTGAAAGAGGGTGTGGGGGTGGGGGAAGTGTTGGAAAGGAGGTGAGGAGTGATGGACAAGCTCTGTTTACTGTGATTGATGCCTCTTTGCTTGGTTTTAGCCTTCAAAAATGTTTGTTTTTAGGTGGGGCCAAGCTCTTTTCCCTGGCTGTTTTTTTCCAAGACCCTTTTATATTTTTCTGTGTAATATGATTAATAAAACTTGAATGATACTGTGGTCTGTGGAGTGTGCGTTTTCCCAATACACACACGGTTTAACACAAAGCCGAAAAGGCTCACATTAAAGACCATATCCATCCAACGAAGACGGGATTGGAGCCATCAACGTAAAAGCCAACTATTGTTTGGCATTTACAAAAGGATGGATGGATATCCCAACAACGAGGAAATGAAAGTCAATTGAAAGTTGAATCTAAAAACAGATTTACCCATTTGCCGAGACGAAGAAGGTTTGAGAGTCTTCTTCACTCACATTCACCGAGGACAGAGAAAGCAAACAAAAGGCAGTCCTTTGGGGATGGGCGGCATCAGATGAGTAGAAATTGTTTGGGATACACACTGTGTGCGGTGTGCAGTTATCAGTAGAATTGTTCTTTTGCTGAAAGAGCTACAGAAATCCAAGCTGTGCACTCAAAAAAACATAGCAAAATTAAGTACCACTACCACAAATGGTACTTTCCTTTTTGCGCATAGGATGCCTATTTCCTAAGCAACTTCACACGTGGATTCCTCTTATTGGCTTTTGAAAACACCATCAAACTCGAAAGCTACTGTGAGTTTTTCCATGAGGTGGTACAAGTTCAACTTTTTCACCCATATGTCATCCAACATTGGCCAAGTGATTCAGAAGCTAAGTTGGTCGACTGCAATCTTTTTCTTTGAATGTACAATAAAGACAGCAAATGCTAAAGGGCTTTTGAAGGGTGGGTGTGAAATCTAAAATCGGGTCAAGAAATGAACGAAACATTTTTTTACAACGGTATAAAAACTTCTCCTTAAAAGAGCCGTTTTAAAATCGTGAAGCTGTTTCAGTGGGGAGATGATACCACGAAGAAACTTATGATATGATACGTGAAGGGACATAAAACAGGGAAAGATGTGTAATCTTTGAGAGTGAGATATATCTTAATGAAGTGACCAAGGCTCTATTTTTCAAGGAGGCTTTTAATTCCAATGTATGGAACTCAGTTTTAAGGAGTGACGTCCTCCTCCTGTGCAATCTTCTTTTGCACACAATGTGTTTTGATGATGATTGATAGGTTAGAGCGGTGCTAAAGCTTAAGCTGTCATTCGGAAATTTGGTAGAGATAAGAGAGACTTGCCCCCACTCTGTCAAAGGGATTTCTTGTTTCAGCCCTTTTCAGCGCTCCTGTATCCCTCTCAAGGAAAAGCCTCATTCCATTCATTATCTTTGAAAGACTCTATTAGAGAAGAAAAAGAGAGAAAAAAAAAAGGAGATTACATAGTCTAATCATTTTCTCATTGGGACAATCATTTTGTTTTCATATAAACTATATAACCAGTCTAGTATGGAGAAGGTCTAAGCCCTACTCCAGTGCCTCGCACCGTTCGATGACTAGCTCTAATATCATTTGTAATAGTCCAAGTCCACCGCAAGTCAATATTGTCCATTTGAACACAAAGAAGTAATGTATCTATGGATTTACTAGAGGGGTAATACTCTATTATACAGAGATACCTGTTTTAAAACCCTGAGAGAAACTATAAAGGAAAGTTCAAAGAGGAAAATACCCCTTCAAATATATCACAACTAGCCATCTTTGTGGCAGACGGAGCACTGAGCACAGTTGGACGATTATGTACTTAGTACTTTTCAAACGGACTAAAAGAGGAAATGTGGCATGGGTCGTTTACTGAGCTAGTTATTTGCTTTGGAGCCTTTTAATTTGTGAGCGGAAAAAGATTCAATACCAAACAAGATACCATCATGCCTCAAAGAAGGTCCGGGCAAATGTAATAAATAAATAAATAACTACTAAACACTGTTGATTGTAAACGATGCTCTAACAAAAAAGTAACTGAGCATTAAGTCAAAAGAAATGAGCTATAAATACAAGCAAGGACCCTTCATGATTCAAAACTGATGTCCAATAAAGCTTCCTTTTAAAAAAGAAAAAAAAAAGAATTCATTGGTTGGCAACTTTTGAGTCTAAATATACAGGAAAGATCTTCAACTTCGTGAGGTAATAACCCCAATAAATTGGGCAAAGCAATTAAGAAGTTACCATTTTCAGTCTGATCCTACCGGAATCATCTTCAAAGCTGCTGCAATCGGCATGCCAAGAAATCCAAATAACACGGTGACAAACCATTGCTGGAAGTTAAGAGGATAGGTGTTCGCAAATGTTCCCAGGTATTGGATGATAATGATCTGGAAAAGGACAGTGCAAGCAAGCACTACCACAAACACGTAGTTCTTCAATATTCCTTCAAACACATTTATCTTTTCCATGTCTCTTGAGCTTACCTCATTGAAAACCTACAAGGACCAGCAATTATCAACAGTAAATTTAGTCAGGACTGCTAGAATTAGATAGATTATATTAATCGATCAGGCATCTGTAGAAAGGTAAAGAATTTGGGTAAACAAATTACCTGACAAAAGACGAATGCATTGAAAATCAGTGTATTCAATATCAATCCAGAGTCTGGGCCATCAAGATGAAAAAGAGCCTGTCCTCTTGTTTGGAGATACCAAACTATAACAAACTGATATAATGACTGCCCTAATATATTTCTCCACATCACATTGCTAATGAAATTTCCTTTCCGACCAACTGGCAGTCTCTTCATCAAGTCATCAGTAGGAGGCTCAGTTGCCAATGCAAGTGCTCCGAGTGTGTCCATTATCATGTTGACCCAAAGCAGTTGCACAGCAGTGAGGGGAGCAGTTCCTGAGAAAATATCATCCAGAAAATTAAGTATTTCCACAATATTCCCATAGGGAAGGGAGATTATAACTTCAAAATAAATGTCAGCTAACCTGTCAAACAGGCTGAAGAAAAATTGACAAGAAGTGCAACCACGTTCACTGTTAGCTGAAACTGGACAAACTTTTGGATATTTATGTAGACTGAACGCCCCCATTTGGCAACAGTAGCAATTGTAGAGAAGTTGTCGTCAAGAATTATTACATCAGCACTCTCTTTTGCAACCTACATTTACGTTTTATGTCATTAAAAAGTAGAGTAAAAGATTAATTATTTAAGACAATTATCGAATTACCTCAGTTCCAGCAATGCCCATAGCTAATCCAATATCTGCTTCGTGGAGTGCCGGAGCATCATTTGTTCCATCCCCTGTAACTGCAACGACTTCTTGAAAAGTGGTTCGTAAGTGCTTTACAAGGGTATGTTTATCCATTGGTGAAGATCGAGCCATAACCTGTGCAAGAAATACCAAAATTTCTTCAGCTCACCAATTCTTACAGGGCTAATAACAAGAGGACCCATGATGCCCCACTCAACTAGCTGAGAAAAATAAAGGGCAACTCCAACGAAAAATGGCATCGACAAGTACTAATTTGTCTGTCAGTCCCCAAATCGACCCCCAACTTCGATTTTGTCCAATACTTCGGTTTAAAATAATAGCTAAAGTGATAGTATTATAGTTCCGAAATTAAAATTCTTTAAAATGTAACCTGAATTTTTGGTACTATTTCACTCAATTCTTCCTCCTTTTTCTCCCGGAATTCAGGACCTTCAATTGCTATACCATCGTCAGTCAAAATCCCACATTCCCTGGCAATTGCTTTGGCGGTGGTGATGTTATCTCCCGTAACCATCCTCACGGTAATACCGGCGGCCTTGCAAATTGCAACTGACTCCTTAACACCCGGACGAACGGGATCCTTGATACCAACAATTCCTATGCACGTGTAGCCACTAGCGGGAATCGTACTTTCAGACTTGTACTCGCCTTCAATGTCCATATAAGCCAGGCACAAAGTTCGAAGAGCTTCACCCGCAAATTCTTCGATGGTTTCCTTCAAAAAGTCGGTGGACTCTTCATTGAGAAGAATTGCTTCACCGTTCGAGTCGAGAACTTTATCGCATGAAGCTAAAACTATCTCTGATGCTCCTTTGCTGTGCGCGCGGAAGCCACCGGCCGGGAGCTCCAAAACAACCCCCATTCGCTTCTTCACAGAATTGAAGGGCTCGACTCTCGCGATTTTTGACTTTTGGCGTTCTTCTTGGAAATCCCCACCAAGCAGAAGGCCGAATTCCAGTAGAGCAGACTCCGTGGGCGTCCCAAGTATCTCATTCTTGCCATCTTTGTTCTTGACGACTTCTCCACCAGTGTTGTTAAATATTGATTGTAGTAAAATATCAACAGCGAAATCGGGAAGCTCTGAACGATAATCGGAACATTTGCTAGAATTACTAACTTCCTTGACCTTGCTGCATATGCAGGCTTTCACAACAGTCATGTGGTTAGTCGTCAATGTCCCAGTTTTGTCACTACAAATAGTAGTAGCTGATCCCATTGTCTCACAAGCAGCCAAGTTCCTGACAAGTGCCTTATCGTTCATCATCTTTTTCATGGCAAAAGCAAGGCTCAGTGTCACTGCCAAAGGCAGCCCTTCAGGCACTGCAACCACAACAATAGTTACGGCGACAGCAAAGAATTCCAAAACTTCCATTGCTTCATCTCCGGACCAGCTCAAGTAAGACCCTTCTTGTAGCTTGCGAGTGAACAATCCTTGAACCAATACAGCGAAAGTTATGACAGCAAAAAACAGGCCTATTTTACCAATAATTGTTGCCACCCCATTGAGCTTTACCTGCAAAGGAGTCTCATCATCTCCACCTTCACTAAGAGTGGCCATCAGTTTGCCCCATTGGGTTCTCATGCCAACAGAAGTCACAACCATCTTACACGAACCATCCTGAACCTTTGTTCCGGACAAGAGGAAAGGATTTTGAGAACTTACGTTAACAGGTTCGCTCTCACCTGTTAAGCTAGATTCATTTATCAGAAGAGAATACCCCGAAACGAAAAGTCCATCTGCTGGTACCTGATCACCCACGGCAAGATGAACAATATCACCAGGAAGAAGTTCGTATATAGAAATCTTTTGTCTCAGCCCATTTCTGGTAACCTGAACCGAAATTTTCTTCTTTTCCCTGTCCAAATCCATGAACTGAAGCGATTGCCTATAGTCACTGGTGGCAGTGACAAATACAACAAGCAAGATACTCGCAACA